AATAGTACGAATAGCACGAGATAAGTCACCAAATGGACGAAGAAGTATTGGCAGACCAAGAAAAAGATGGCGCGACAATTTAAACAATTTAGGAAGCTAATATTAAAGAAGAAACAGGCTTTAAAGCCCTCAAACTAGAAGGAAGAATAAGAACAAGATCAATGTCTTCTACATCAGAACTTCTAATCTATCTCGGCGCAAATAAACCACATTAAATGGCATTTTCACAATCTGAGTTTTCTTCTAACAAAGCTATTAACTCTGTAGTAGTTAGTGCCATCTTCATTCCATATTTCGAAAATTTACTGAAATAAACAAATGCACTGCTATATAAACGCATTCGTATGATAATAGTTTAGCTTACTTCATTTTAATTTATATGAACTTCATAATATATTTTCATATTTATATAAACAAATAAACACAAGCAAACTTTCAAATTAAGTTAAAAAAAAACAAATATAACGTTTACAGCACACAGCAATTCTATAAATAGAGAATGATGTGTAATGATGTGTAATTAAAATTGCAGATTGTTTTTAGTCTAATGAAAAAAAAAATATTTTCCAAAGTTTTTCTGTTTTTTTAAGTTCTGTATTAGATACTCTCTAATAGGAATAAAATTTTATTTTATTTTGTTGGACAACTATAAGATACCTGTTAAAAGAGACATGGTAATTTAATAATTAAATCGGTCTTAGATTTAATTTTTACGTAATTACTTGTGTTTAAATAAATAATTAAAATTTTTTTTGGTACACCTCTGCAAAATTGATAATTTCAATACGATTTCGTTGAAAAGTTATCGTTAAGGACTTCGTTAAGTACGATGTTGCCAAGTAATCACCTTCAATTAAAAATTGTTTTAGTATAGATAAAAGCCCTACAAGTGCGAAATTGCACACTGGAGAAAAAACTTAGAACTATGTAATTTGTTACAAGGATTTTGTGTGGCACACCAATTGAAACAACGTGTAAGGACGCACACTAAATAAAAACCTTACAAGTGCGAAATTTGTTTTAAACAGTTTACTCAAGCAGGTAATCAGAGAACACATAATCTGATATGTCAGTGTCAAGAAAGATCTTAACATGTGATTTTAATGATACTTTGGAAGATGCACACTTGAAAGAAACTGTTGAGATTTGTGTTATAAATAGATGTTGATATTGTTTAGAACAAGGAATACTTACTATTCTTATACTTATACTTACTGTAACATTTTTTTTATTATTAAAATATTAATTATTTTTAATTTCTTTTACCCCCGTTAATTTCTTTTAATTCCCGTGTTTACAATAAGAAAATAATATTGGATCTACTAAATTATAATGGACTTCCCTAATTACTAAAGGTAGTTAATCCTTTCCGTCTTAATACTCAGTATGAAAAGATCTAATGCTTTTAGATATGCAGGTTCTTTTACATAAATTGATAATTTTCGCCGAAGGCCCGTATCTTTTGACAATAATTTAATCCCAAGTATTGTCTGCTTCTCATGTCCAATTGTTGGTACCGGTAACTCAAAACTTTCGGAATTTTTACTTCCTCAGAATTACCTACAACTGTCCGATGATTTTAAGTGGGGGATATACCTTCTTCTTTTTTCTTGGATCGTTGGTGAAATTTTTAGTGGAACCTACTTACTTCTCGGTGGGCTCTCGTTGATCACAGGTCGATTATCTCGTGAGACTTCTTGGTGGGCTCTCGTTGAGCACAGGTCGATTATCTCGTGAGACTTCTCGGTGGCATCTCGTTGAGTGCGGTCGCCTGCGTGAAATTATCGTCTCTGTGAATTATTTTCTAAGTGTGTATACACTCTATATTTCAGTTTTCTTGTCTTAGACTACCTTTAATGGTACCTAATTAAATTTAGTGTTGAATACCAGTACAGTATATTATATTCAGTGAATTAAACTGCCGTCATCAGGAATTATGTAAGTTACCATAATCTTTATCTGCAAATTATCTGGGCGAGTAATATGGTATGGTATCATATCACCTGCCATTATCTGGACGTATCACCCATCATTCATCCATATCTTCATCTGTAGATTGCCGATTTTTATATTTAATTTAAAGAACAATTCAAGAACTTTCCATAAATAATAACTATGAACATCTCAGTTTAGCATTAATTAATAGTGCGAGATAGTAACCCACCAGCCAAGTGCGGTTTGGCTAGTTAATGTTTTCAACTCTGTAACCTGCTTGTTTTTTTTTTGTTGTAAATTTAGAGTTAAGAAATTTTTGCTATCTTTTGTATTTGCTATAATTTTTGCTTATTATCTTTCCTATAATATCTCGAGATACGCCAAACTATATTTGTATATGATTGCCTTATATATCTTGGTAAAGGTATTTTTTTATTATATTATTGCTTAATTTTATACATATATAACACCATTTCATAGTTGTGTATTTTTATTACTTGTGTTGCATTTAGCAGCATCATAATTTTGTGTTTAATATATTGTTAATGTTTTATGCATGTATTTTATTTGTCGGTTCCTAACAAGTTCCCTGATAAAATAGTAGCTCTAAATATTTGCTTAGTATATTAATTTATTACTATACCTTTGACCAGTAGAAAGATCAGGTTGATTAAGTTTCGTAGGTAAGTAAGTGTATAACTAATATATTTATTATTTGTTTATATATTGTGTTGACCAAGTTTATTTGATAATTAACTGTTGGTATCTTTCCTTGGGTTTGATCTCTGAAGGATATCTTTCCTTATCTCTTTTCTAAGGTTTCTTAATTTTCTCCTTAACCCCAAAAAATTGAGTGGCGCCCTGTTTCTATCTTCTCTTATCTTTGGTAATTTTACCCATCTATCTTTTTGTTTATTTCTATATCTTTTCTAATATCTCTTATCCTTACACTACTTTAAAGAACACTTTTTCGATTTGTATAAACATATACAACGTATTTGTTCAGTAGACAAAGTATTAAGACTGAAATCTAGCACCAATACTTAGCCTACACCTAACTTACCAATACCAGGTAATTTAGCGTTATTTGTGATAGTGATTTATTCCTTGCATAAACCAAAAAAGTTTGACATTTAGTTTTTTCTAAATTACTTTTTGCACGTTTCGGTGTATAATTATGTTAAAAAAGATAATGATAATTTGCTCGACATTTATATTTCAAATATTAAATTACTCATAAATCATATGGATAACACTGATTTGAAATCATGAATATCAAAACGACGTTTTTATTAGATTATAAATATTTCTAACAGAAATATTTTAAAATATGTAATAGTAAAGTCTGTTTATACTGTTTACTTATTTCGTCCGTTGGACCCAACCCCGGTTCCAAAAGCTAGTTTCGAACCCACGACTCGCTCTCCACCAACCATCTGGCTGCTGGTTATCTTTCTAGCACCATCCAAAAAAGATTTCCGATGTTACATTACTATATATACTATTTGCCAGGAATACTTTTTTAATAAATTCTTGCCATTGATAAATTATCCAGCATTTGGCACCAATTTTCGTTATTAAATGAAAAAGTGCTTGAAGTACGTAGCTCGTCCAGAAAGCAAAGAACTATTGCGAATCACGAGCGGCGCTGATCTCCCGTCGGCTCGATTTAAGGTCGATTCAGACACATCAGTCCCGTCATAGTCTCGGCGCCGAACCGGTCCTGTTTGGTCAAAGAACTATCAACTATCTGACAGCTGGGAAACTGTTTGTCAACTGATGAGTGCGAATGCCGGCAACATGTTTGTATTAAAGAAGATTTTGTATGACGGATTGTTCGGTTCGGCGCAATCACTGTGACGAGACGTGACTGATGTGTCTGAATCGACCTTTAGTGCGCGCCAGTCACCTCTGTCGCATCGGTGTGAACCATGATATAAGAATATCAGATATGATATTGCCACGCACTAAACTCGTACACTCACGCGCATGACGTCACCTTGTGCTAAATTTTCAAAATGTATTTATGCTTACGGATAAAACGAACTGTTGAAATTCTAATATAATTTACTAGATGTTTTATTTACTACGTGAATTTAAGCTTAAGTATTTAAATTAGTATATTGTAAAAAATAACAATTTTCCCATAAGAGTGAAGTTTGATGGAGGGAGCCATGACCGAATGCCACAAATTGCAAACTATGGAATGTGATTTTTATACAATATATATTTTATATAAAGTAGTTAGGTATTATTGACTGACACGTTAGGTAAACTATTTTTCTTTTGAGGTTGCAGTCATTAATAGGGCAGGATAAGTAACACTATTTGTTCTTTTATTTAGCTTTCACAAAATTTATTCGCTTCTTCAGGATATGCTAAAATATGGTTATAATTATTTAATCTCCCAACTATATATATATATATATATATATATATATATATATATATATATATATATATATATATATATATATATATATATATATATAATATATAATATATAATATATATATATATATATATATATAAAATATATATATATATATATATATACATATATATCTATATATATTAATAAAGTATTCAACTAGTGAATTCAGAGGTTAATCGGTCGTTCAGGTTGGCAAAACAAAATAAAAAACAGAAGTCAACTACTTCATAAGTTTATAGAAGACATTTCGCTTTATACTTCTACAGCTTCATCAGTTCTAACTCAATATGTAGTATTAAAGATGTTATTATATATGTACTTAAGTTTACTCATTATTTAGAACTAACTTAAAAAAACAGAAACAAAGGACACAAAAACTTTGCAAAAAATAATATCGTTCGCAGAAACGAAGATTTAACAAAATTTTAAACGTACATTTAGCTTCATTTAGAGATGGTTCTCCAATGAAGACAAACAAAACACTCACCAGTGTGTCATTCTACAATTTTATTGAACAAAAATGTATGTTCCCGAAGATAGACAACACTTTTAACACCGACAACATACCCGTAATTGTAATTTTAGTCATAATTCTGTTTTTATTTTACCCTGCACTGACGTTTTCAAAATTGAAATTTCAAAAAATAACCTTCCAAGTATGTAGTTTAGTTATAAACTTAAATACCCACTGTTTTGTTTAATTAATTAAATATATTGAAACACTTTCCAACTCATTGAAAAATTTAAAACTAAAAATGAGCGATGAATATTTATTATTATTCCACAAAGACGATTTAATAGAAATTCTTAGCAGCAAAGATAACTCAAAGCACTACTCTATAAATATAAATTTTATTGAACTATACGAACATGATGACGAATTGGCTAGAGACATATTAAACGATGCAGAGTCGAATCTAGAAGCATGGGATAATGCTGCTGTTAGAACACAAATGTCCCTTTTGAAAGAGTTGGACAAGAAGGTTGAAATTAAGGCCAATGTTCATTGTAGAATATTTCACTTAGCACATTTGGCTTGGAAGTCGGCATTTCCTGGAGGTAAAGATGAAGGTACGTTTTTGCAAATATCTGGTACTGTTATGAGAATAACTGCTGCTAAATTGCTTGAATATCAAAGAAGCTATGTTTGTGTTAAGTGTAAAACTCCAACTTTAGTTAAGGCTGATTACAGTAGAAAATACATGATAAAGCAGCCTACACATTGCAAGAATCCTGAAGGTTGTCCAGGAACCAATTTAGTTCATTTTGGTGACATAGACAGTGAGAATTGTAAAGATTACCAAGAAATTAAAATCCAGGAGCAAGTAAAGAAGCTGGGTTTGGGATCTGTGCCAAGTACTATGTGGGTAACTTTGGAGGATGATTTAGTAGATTGTTGTCAGCCTGGGGATGATGTAACAATATGTGGTATACTAAAAAAACGTTATGGAGAGTTCTGTGTTGGTAAACGAACTGAAATTGACCTTGTTTTCAAAGCCAATCATATCCAAGTAGATTCCCATAATAGCTTTATTCCGATATCCAATCCAGAAAGTGACAATATATTCAACAACTTCTGGGAACAATACAAAGACAACCCTCTCGAAGGTAGAGACGTGATCCTAAAATCAATTTGTCCTGAAATTTATGGCCTATATCCTGTTAAACTTGCTATGGCCACTGTATTAGCTGGAGGGTGCTCTATAGAAGATACTACAGCTACTGGAGTTCGTACTAGGTCAGAAGCTCATTTGCTTCTTGTTGGGGATCCTGGTACAGGAAAGTCACAGCTACTCAGGTTTGCTTCAAAAGTTGTTCCAAGGGCTGTGTTAACTACAGGAATTGGATCTACTGCTGCAGGTGAGGGTATTTCTCTATTTTCTGATGTAAATTGTACAATTTTTTCCATTCATAGAAGAATTTTAGTAACTTCTTTAAAATAAAGAGTTATGAAAATAGCACAGTAAATATATTAATGTGGTATACCCATAAATTTAGTGTATTTAGCTTTAATATTATGTCTACAGATGAATAATGATTCTTCTTCTTAGAGTGCCGTCTCCCTACGGAGGTTGGCAATCATATTGGCTATTTTTATTTTTGAACTTGCTAAATTGATACCAATCACGTAGATTCTTCAACCATGAAGTCTGCCTTCGGCCAACAGATCTTCTTCCTTGAATGTTTTGCTGTATTATGAGTCTCAAAATTTCCTATTTGGTCCCCTCATCATGTGGCCTAGGTATTCCAGTTTTCTGATTTGTATAGTGGTGATTAGTTCTGTTTCTTTACCAACCCTCTTCAGTACTTCTTTATTTAAAATTCTATCAGTCCATGATATTTTTAATTCTCTGCAGTATAACCAGAGTTTGAAAGCCTCGATTCTTTTTAAATTGCTTTTTTTTAAGTCCACGTTATATATTCAAAATAATAACATTATGTAGTTGTCTATGTAGTTTTATAGTTGTCCTCCCCTGTCGGATTTTGGTCTCTGATTACCATAATCAATAATCTCTATTGCACAAATAGTGCTAGTCGTTATAATTTATACTAGAGATGTCATCCGGTACCTTTAATGCAGTGGTTTCTCGTTGCCTTCTGCATTCTGATGCCGTTGACCACTTTCTTGGTTCTTCCGTCTTCCCTTCCGAATAACGATAGATATATTAAAACTACATTCTTCTTTTATAACTATTATTTCGTTTGACATGCTACATTTTGCTCCACCACTGGAGGAGGTAAACGAATCGAGCTTAGACAAGGAAAGACAGATGAAACAACTTATTGCAAGTGGTTTTACACGCACACGGCAAGAACGATGAAAATGATTATAACATAGTTATCAAAAAGGAAAATTGACAGGCACAGCAATTTTTTAATTTGTAAACAGAGTAATATTAGCACTTGAAAAAGGGGAAATTCCTATGGGTGCTTGCTTATATCTATCGCTTGTCTTTCTTTTATATAAATTATTCTGTAGTTTCAAAATATTCTTCCTCTATTCAACAAAATAATTGTTACAGGTTTAACAGTAACAGCTAAGATGGAACAAGGCGAATGGCAGCTAGAAGCCGGAGCTCTAGTAATGTCAGACGGCGGAATCTGCTGCATAGACGAATTCAACTCAATGAAAGAACACGACCGTACAACTATACACGAAGCCATGGAACAACAAACCATCAGCGTCGCCAAGGCCAGCATGGTGTGTAAGCTCAATACCCGTTGTGCAATACTAGCAGCCTGTAATCCCAAGGGAAACATAGATCCAACTCAAACCATGTCTATGAATATAGCTTTACCAAGTCCTCTGCTGAGTCGTTTCGACTTGGTAATGCTGCTCAGGGATACAGTGAACCAAGAGTGGGATGAGTTGGTTATTGATTATATACTAAACGGAGGAATCATTTCAAATCTAACCAGCTCTTCAATTTGGCCGGTCAAAAATCTTCAAGCCTACTTCAAAAGAATCAAAAAGCTTCAGCCCAAGTTAACAGAAGATGCAGAATTAATTCTGAGTACTTATTATAATATACAGAGAAGATTGGATTCGAGAAATAAGGCAAGAACGACTGTTAGACTACTAGAAAGCTTAGTTCGAATATCTCAAGGTCACGCGAGGATAATGAATCATGAAAAAGTGCAAGTACTTGATAGCATTTATGCCATATTTCTTATAGACATTTCAATGGACCTAGAATCCTCAGTATTGAATCTCAAAACTTCCGTTAACGGAGTCTTTCCTGAAAAACCTAAAATAGTGTATAAAAATCTATTAGAGTCGATTTTAAACAAACTACAACTTGAAAATATCCTAGAAAAGGAGTTAAATTTATTAAATATTACCAAAGAACAGCAAATACAGTCGCGGTTTTTTGCAAACCATGGAGGAGATGTTAATAATGTTCAGAATAATGCAAGCTGTGTAAATAAGAGTCTAAGAGATCAAATTTTTGAACCAAAGTGTTCAACAAATGTAGAAGTTTGCAATAATATTGTTAATAGTACGATAAGTGGACTTACAAAAGATATAAGCGAGGTCTCAAAAATCAAGTTAAAAAAATCAAATATCAATAACTTTGACGACATTTTTGATCAATGTTCTCCAATACAAAGTAAAAAATCGGACAAGGCAGCTAACTTGGATCTAAATGATTTTAATCTGGTACTGAATGAAACAAATAAGAAAAAAAGTGTCACATGTAGTAGTGAATCAACTAAGTATACAAAAAAACGTAAAAAACACACTGACAATATTATTCATGAGGAAAAAAATAGCAATAACGAAAATAAGGCAAAAAAATCTAGTATGTTCGAATCTGGATTTGATGAGTCTGTGTTTGAAGATGAAATTGCCGGAAGAAATTCATTAAACAGTTCCAAACGTTCTAGCACATTCAAATTTTCTCCAAAGATGCCTTTAAATCATAAGAATGAGCCTTCTAAAGTTACTACAACTAAAGATGGTGATGCTAGAAGTCAAAAAGTTTACAATGAATCATCTGGATTCAATGAGTCTATATTTGGAGAAAACATTTCCGAAAGAACTTTATTAGACAGTTCTAAACATGCTGGTACATCTAAATTATCAAGTAGGAAGTCACCAAATGATATGAATAAGTCTTCTAAAGTTACTACATGTAAAGGTGGTGATGCGAGAAGACAAAAAGTTGACAATGAAAAAGAAGGAGTGAACAAATCTTCAAAAACAATAGTGGACGATATTACTGTAGATAAAGGTGTTCCAAAACATTCAGATTTAAACAAATCTGAGTCAGGATTTGGCGATGGTGATGAAACTGGACCAAAACCTAAGAAAACACCTCCTGGGAGTCTTGCAAAGTTCAAATTTGTTCCCAAAGAAGCTAGGGTTGATAATAAACCAAGTCAAGTCACAGATTCATGCATATCTTCTTTAGATAGTAATAAAAATGCACCTGTAGAAGATAAAGATTCTAATGATACGATTCCCGTTACAGATGTTGCAAAAGCGACGATGGAACCATTACGAGAACACTCCAAAAATATTGTTAGTAATGTTCAGTCTTCAGAAAAAGATCAGATAAGTCGAATAGATAGCAACAATGAAAATGGAATTAGCAAAAAGTTGTTCAAAAGTAAGTCGTCCAGTATTTTTGACTCAAATGATCCAATATGCTTCGATAATATTTTAGAAGCCCCACCTGATTCTTCTAAAAAGAAAACCTTTAAATTTGTTCCTAAAAACCCTCGCAACAACAGAATACCCTTCAAAAAAGACTCCAGTAAAAGCGGGAAAAGTATAGAAAACGAGTGGGATATGTTGAAGTTAATGCCTGGTGTTAATGATGGTTTTAACATAGATCTGGATATGGACTGGGATAGTATAGGTGCTGAAAAAGGTAGTTCGTCATTTGGGAGTAATGAGAGCAAAGGATTGAGTGGCAAAACAAGTAGGAATATTTTTGAATCGGGCGATGATGTTGATTTTAATATATAGGAGATTCTTGTGATATTTGTGTGTAAGATAACTGTAATACATTTGTTTTGTAATATCGAATATATTTTTTAAATAAATTATATATAATAAAACAACATTAAGAAGCCATTTAGGCTCATTGCTGGATAGATAGTTTTCATCCTTTTCTCTGTCTTGATTTCTGTTTCACCGAGTCTAGTGCAGGTATAAGTCTCCCGCTTACTGATCAACGTCTTCGGGCAGAGTTTCGTAAGTGGTAGGGCACCTTTATGTCCTGGGGTTGAGAAATCGACCCCGAAGGCGGATAAACCAAAATTTGGCCAACGGCATAAAGATGTAGAAGGTAAGGGGAAACCACCACATTAATGATCCCTACGGATATCCCTGGAATAATTATCTTATATATAGGACAAAATTGAAGCAAAGGCCTCCAGTCCCGGGCAGACCTTAGATGGTCCGAGGGTGCTAAAAATCTCCAGGGTTTGACTTCAAGATGTCGTTCATAAAGTAGCGACATGGAACGTCAATAGTTTCTGCATCCCAGGAAAGTTACATAACCTGCTCAAAGAAATGCGGCACCTAGAAGTGAAAGCAAAGGGTGTAAGTGAATTAAGGTGGTCTGTCTCTGGTATTTCTCACAAAGACAGCTTTACAGTGTAACATTCATTACGCCGACGACACCGCGATAATAACAGACAACGAACAAAGAAAAAACGCACTTTTAAGAACACAACTGCAAGTAGATAGTGCTCCAATCGACCAAGTGAAAATATTCAAATACTTGGGAGTGATGATGAATGACCAATGGGATTCCCAACAAGAAATAAAATGAAGCGAACAAGCAAGACAAGCTTTTATCAAATTTAAACCGCTACTACGTAACCGCACTCTTTCCTTCAATCTCCGCTATAGGTTGGTTAAATGCTATTTATGGTCCATATTGTTATACGGCATGGAAACATGGACGTTAAGAGTCCCTTCCATTAACTAGTTGGAGGCCTTCGAAATGTGGACGTTGCGAAGAATGTTTCGCATACCATGGACGAATAGGGTGAGAAACGAGGAAGTCTTAAGAAAGGCAAATACTGAGAGAGAACTACACAATTTGATCAAGGTACGAGAAATTTCATACCTCGGCCATATTCTGAGAGGGAAAAAAATACGCAATCCCTCAACTAATCATCCAGTGAAAGATTGAAGGCAAGAGATGAGTAGGTCGCAAACAAATCTGGTTACGAAACATAAAGAACTGGACAGGCATAAATAACACTGGCGATCTTTTGCATGCCGCAAAAGACAGATGTCTGGCATTAAGATAATTCGCCAACGCACTATTGGTGAATGGCACTATAAGAGGAAGAACCGTTCTGTTTCCAATTTGTCATTCCCTACATGGCATCCGTCC